TTCCATCCTTCCTGCAGCCGACACCTCCTTCCATCTCAAAAATGTTCTGATTGCGCCTGACATTGTGCGCAATCTTCTTTCGGTTAGTCAATTTGCACGTGATAATCATTGTTCTATCGAATTTGATGCCCTTGGCTTTTCTATTAAGGATCCATGGACGAGACGCGTGATTTTTTGCTGCAATAGCAGCGGCGACCTCTACACCATACCATCCACTTCGTCCTCCACCGCCGCTAGTTGCGGCCTCGCCATCACATCCACCTTATGGCATCACCGTCTTAGTCATCCGGCCGACTCCGTCGTCGCATCTCTTAGAAACATGCCAATCATCACATGGAATAAAGCAGCATGGTCCTTGTGTCATGCCTACCATCTAGGAAAACACAGGTGCCTATCCTTTGCTAGCTTAGTTTCCATTACATCAGAACCTTTTGCTCTAGTTCATTGTGATGTGTGGACATCTAGTTCTTAGCACTTCGGGTTATAAATATTATTTGGACATACTTGATGATTTTACTCATTTTTGCTAGACTTTTCGCTACGTAAAAAATCCATGGTCTATGGTCATTTTGTTGATTTCGTTGCTTACACATGCGCTTGTCCTTTGCTAGCTCAATTTCTATTACATCAGAACCTTTTGCTCTAGTTCATTGTGACAAGTGGACATCTCTAGTCCTAAGCACTTCGGGTTATAAACATTATTTGTCCATACTTGATGAGTTTAGTCATTTTTGCTAGACTTTTCCGCTGCATCAAAAATCTGCTATCTATGGTCATTTTGTTGATTTTTTGCTTATGTTCAGGCTCAGTTGGTTCTATTCCCGAGTGCTTTTGGGTCAACAATGGCACTGAGTTAGTTAATAATGCCATGTCTAGCTTCATGTCTTGTAGCGGCATTTTGCTTCGCCTTTCCTACCTCTACACTTCTCAGTAGAATGGCAAAGCTGAGCGTATGCTTCACACCATCAACAACACTGTCCACACCCTCCGCCTCCATGTTTCCATGCCATTGACTTATTGGGCCGAGGCGTTAGCTACAACCACTTATGTGCTTAACCGGTGCCCCTCCTGTTCTATTGACAACAAAATCACATACCAGCTCCTTCATCGCTCTTTCCCTGAGTACTCCCACCTTCGCGTGTTTGGCTGTCTGTTTTACCCGAACCTTAGTGCCACGACTCCCCACAAACTTGCACCTCACTCCGCGGCGTGCATTTTCTAGGCTATCCATCTTCTCGCGAGGGTTATTGGTGCCTTGACATCTCCGCGTGTGATTATATCCTGACATGTTGTGTTTGATGAGTCGGTTTTTCCTTTTGCTGTTGCCACGTCTCCGGCATCTTCGTTTGACTTTCTTCTGTAGGATGTTACTTTGGTCACTCCCTCTGTTATAGAGGTTGAGCAGCCGTTGCCCCAGGACCTCGACAATTCGACCATCGTCATGGCTGGCCCTGCTTGGCCCTCTGTCTAACCGACAGTCCTTGCCGACCAGCCGGTTGGCCTACTAGTATAGCTGGGGTCGGTCATCCTAAGCAGTCGCCTGGACCTGCCCCTGTTACGTTACACCAATCCTGCCCCTGTTACACCAATCAGCGGCGTTTCAGCACTCGCCGGTTTGACCCCACCCATCAGTGTTGGCCCCCATCACCAGCACTAGCGTCAGCTCAGTGGTGTTTCAGCAGCAAGGTGTACCGGCATCTATTTTCTTCGCCTTCATCACTTGTGCCCGCTGGAGCTCGACCGTCCACCAACACGGTTGTGTCTACTTCCTTGTCTGTCGGTGGTTTGGCCAGTGCGCCGGCTGCCCCTTAGCCACCTGCACTGCCACCCGGCAGGCCTCCACTACTTCGGGTTGTGCACGGGCCTCAGCGTTCGGATGTTGCTGCATGGGCGGCTCAAGGCTGCTGCAGCCCCTGCACCTTCTCGTCAGCCTATGTAGGGGCCTGCACCGGCCAATTCCCTGCTCCATCGCATGATGACATGCACATGGATAGGTGTTGTGCTGCCTGTCTGCAACCTTGACTTCTCTGTTGTCTGCAGTGCGTTGGCTGATCCCAACCGACGTGTTGCGATAGTGGATGAGTACTAGGCTCTTCTCAACAACGAGACATGGCGTTTATTTCCTCGACCACCAGGTGCCAACATTGTGATAGGCAAGTGGCTCTTCAAGCACAAATATCATGCTGACGGGTCCCTTGCACACCCAAAGCTCATTGGGTTCTTCGTGGCTTCTCCCAGCAGCATGGTGTCGACTATGATGAGACCTTAGTCCTGTCATCAAGCCTGCTACCATCTAGACTGTGCTTAGCATTGCTGCTTCACGCTCCTGGCCAATTCATCAGCTTAGCGTGAAGAATGTTTTTCTTCATGGTGACTTTAAGGAGACCGTCTATGCACACCAACCTACGCACATCTACCCCTGACTTTGTCTGCCTATTGTAGAAATCACTGTATGGCCTCAAGCAGGGTTTCACTGTGGCAAAGTCTGATGCTTCTCTCTTCATCTCAAAGATGGAGTGTAGATAGCATACTTGCTACTGTACGTCGACCACATCATCCTCACAACATCCTCTTCGGATCTCCCGCGATGCATCATTGCCCGTCTCATCTCTGAGTTTGTCATGACGAACCTTGGGGCTCTCCACCACTTTCTTGGCATCTCTGTCACTCAGGTCCTCTGATGGCCACCACTTGTCCCAGCGATAGTATGCTGTCAACCTTCTTCAGCGGAACGGCATGGTTGAGTGTCACCCCACGACAACACTGGTTGACTCCATGTCCAAGCTATCTACCACTGATGGAGTTCCAGTTGCCCACCCTTTAGAATACCGGAGTCTTGCTGGTACCCTGTAGTATCTCACGCTGACTCGGCCGGACATTGCCTACACCATTCAGCAAGTCTGCCTCTTCATGCATGACCTGTGGGAGACGCATCTTGCTCTGATCAAGCGTATTCTGCACCTTGTCATTGGCAGTGTGTCATCCATCCATCACGACATACTCCGACGACGACTAGGCTGGATGTCCAAACTCTAGGCAATCTACATCAGGCTACTACGTCTTCCTCGACGATAACCTGGTTTCTTGGTTTTCAAAACGGCAGACCACGGTATCTCGGTCCAATGCAAAGGTACATTACTGAGCTGTTGCTAAAGCAGTTGCTGAGTGCTGCTGGCTGCGCTAGTTGCTTCAAAGAGCTTCATATCTTGATCCGTTCGGCGACCATTGTCTATTGCGACAATGTTAGTGCAATCTATATGGCTGCCAATTCGATTCATCATCGTTGCACGAATCATATAGAGATTGACATCCACTTTGTTCACGAGAAGGTGGCTTTGGGGCAGTTCAAAGTACTCCAGCTCATCAGTTCATGGACATTATGACTAAGGGATTAGGTCTCATCTCTGCGTTCAGTTCCCTCCTGACTACGGCAGGTATTAGAGATATGTATAGTCTAGCACATATTACTTGTATTCCAAGTAGTACTTAACTATATATGAAAGCCATCCAATTGAGAGTGAGATGTTTCCTAATTCTCTACATAAAGAATGCAAATAAAGGATGGTGAGAAACACTAATCGAGAATCCATGAAGAGGTTCAAGAAAATCAAGGGCTGTCATGAACTACAACACTGAAAAGGATGATGATATTCCTAACTAAAAAACAGTGATGTTACTAAGTGAGTAGTGAAGTTCTTTGCTGGGGCCATGGAAAAGCCATTCTTCCTCAAGCAGTAATCCACATAAAAAAAAATGACGTGCGGTTCTCCTGTGTATCCGAGAAAACTAAAACCTTGATGGTCCCTGGCTGACTTAATGAGAGGGCGTAGTAAAACCTTGAGGGCCAGGAATCTCAACTTAAGGCTGTAACGACCAGTGTGTTACTATTGCTTAGATCAAATAAACTATGAACTAGGAAAAATTTGGGGAGCTTTTAAGTTTACAACAACTCTAAAATATACCCAAAAAAAACTTGCTACATTTAAACTGAGATGATGAGTTAATTGGAAATGCTTGCATTGTAATATCAAAATCTATAGGTTGCACTTTGTAGCCTGGTTGATAAAAATAAATGCGCAAAAATGATGGCTGGTTTACCAAGGGAAAAATAACTATATGGAACATATAAATTATGAGACAATGACTCACTCCAACTCCGATGGAACGGAAAGTGAAGTTTCTGAAAACAACTTAAGAACCAAGCAAATAAAAAGGATGATCAAAGATTCAGAAGTTATACATGAGGCTTAACAAAAAAGGGTTACTGTAGAAGCAAGTTAAAGTGGACCTTAAACTAATTAAAAAAAAACTTCAGCTTCTATGCCTCCAACTATATCTTCTTTATCAAAAAAAGAAAAATCTAGGATGCCTTTCCAGTTTCCATGTCAACAATGGTAACAAAAGAGTTCGATACAGCAGGCTTTAGATACAGGAACAGAGGAAAGGGATGTAAGAAATAGAATCAAGCCTGTAAATACGCTAGATGACTAGAAGTCTTTTAATATCACCACAATATATATAAGGATGAAATCCAGATCAATAGAATCAAGTAATTGTGTTTGTTTAATCAGCCTAGCAGCTCTGATTTCCAAATCATACATACCCTTTGAGTTTAAGTTTTAAAATTGCTTTGACGTTTCTTTCCAAGGCAAGGTTGAGTTTTTCCTAAGCTCCACACAAAAATAGATAGGTAATTATAATTTATAATAAACACTCCTCAAACTTGATGAACATTAACCTGAATTAAAGTTAATGAGCTTTATTGGCTGAGGTTTGACAGCATATGTCTGTGATAATCTTTTTTGCCTCTACTAACTGGCAACAAAAAGCTCTTCATAGGCAGAGAATATGTGCAGTTAACATAGCGGTTATATTTGATAGACAATTCATATGAGTACAATAATTTATTGACATAGCTCACAAAGAAAGAGCATTATATACTATGTACATTTGTATTGTGGTTTGGTTGAGCATAAGACAAGATAGGGCACAACACAACCTTATTGCACTTGTGCTTCACCTTCGCAAACAAAAGGAGATAATTCAACTCCCAGAGCACACAAGTCCTGTAGTGCCTCAGCACTCTTAAACTGCAACCCAACCATTCCTACACTAAGAGCTGCTTCAATGTTTATCATCCTGCAGTGGTAAAAATACAAACATGCTAAGGAATCCACATCACTGGTAAACAATGCTAGAGCTGCATCAACAAAAACTAACCTATCATCAATAAAAATGCAGCTTGCTGGATCAACATTGAATTGATCCGCAGCTTGAAGATAAAACTCCAGCGAAGGTTTGCGCTTTCCTGAATGGTGTAGTGTAATGATCAATCCACAAAATAAAGGAAGCATTTTCATTAAGGAGCTATCATACAAGATTATAATGGCCTAGCAAACATAACAATGAACTAGTACCCTAGTGCCCCGTTACTTGACTGATAATGCCCAAACCGAAGTACAGAATTAGTTTATGAATGAACGATCTGCATTCCATCTCTAGATTCAAATTTTAAGATCAATTCTATGGTTAGTTCAAACTATTCAGATAGATAGAAGACAAAAAAACTCAGCCGGTGGGGGAAAGACATAAATCTAATATATTAAGGCAGATTGCTTTGGCCGCCTCCTAGCCTGTCCACGTCACCTTAAATTTTGTTAGCCGTTCGATCTTCCCATCCGACGACCCAGATTTCGTAAAGCAAATTTTACCGAAAGCGACTTCTCGTGATTCTCCTTACCTTATCCAGCTTCTCACCTGCTTCTTATTGGACTCTCCTGCTTCTCGTCCGAAGCTAGACAACCAAATATATATCCAGCTTCTACTTCTTCCTGAAACTTCTCAGAATATCTCGCCTCCTCCTCTCATCTCTCACCCCGTCGCTCCTAGCCCCGACGCGGACGCGCGACACGGACACGGCGACGACGGCTGACGCAGCGGCTGCAGCCCTCCTCCTTCTCCTCCCCACCCCGGCGTGCCGTCCAGCCAAAGATCGCCATCCACGCTGCGCGGTAGCGTGTCGAGGCGCTGACGGAGCTCCTGCCCACTGGCGCGGCTCCGCCCGTGGCCACCGGCGATGGTCGTCCCCGGCCATGACCCGGCGCGACCACCGCCACCGCACCACCCCGCGCCCCCGCTGCCCGCCACGTCACTTCCCCCCGGCGCTGCCTCCTCCCTCTGATCCGTCTGTGCTACTGTGCTCCAAGAAACCCTAGCTATCCGTGCTACAGGTCGGGGCAGCAGAGCACTGACCCCGCCCCGGCGGCGGTGCCCTGCTCCCGCATCGAGACGCTAACTCCTTTGCCACCTTATGTCTCTAATCCCTTGATTTCGCTTTCTGTATGTATGTATTATTTTTACTTACACATACAGTTTGTGTTCTGGAAAAGAAAAACCTAACCATGTCTCAAAGCTTCGTGTTACTGTTGTGAACCTTTTCAAAACATATACAAGCGTATGCCATTGCTCATCATGTACGTACAAGAGCAGAGGTCACTGTCTTTTGGGTATGTCTAAATATTAAACTAATTTCTGCTCTGATGAATGTGATGTAGCCTTCTGTATGTTTTTTTAGTTTGGCTTTAGTTTTCAATTATACCTCCTATATGTTTTTTACCTGTTTAGAAACATGTGAGTTATGTTTTTAGTTAAGATCCATGCTGTTGAAACTGAACCTTCATACGTGTTCTCTTTCATTTAGTTAGGCAATTCTATCTCACAGGGGTGATCGTCCTCTTATCTCGACCAGGTAACCGGTGATCTAAGATGTTGGACTGCAGGCTTCTACATAGAGGGCAACAGTCAGCGAACATGTAATCAACATCACAGCAAACAATTTCTAAAGGATTCACACGGCTGTCTATCATTTCGGTGGATCTACAATCCACTGAAGATTTACTTCCGTATAGGCCCTTTCTATTTTAGGATCACGACCATATGATTTAACTATCCACTGAATTCCTTGGGACTAGTTTAGTAGCTGTTAATTACAGAGACTAGGCAAACAAAGGAAAAAGGCGAATGTTTGAGGTCAAATTTCCCATGCTTACTATTTTTTTAGGTCTATACAAGATTATTACCCATTGTTCTTAGTTAATCGACCTTGGTTTAGTAGTCGTTATTTAATTTGATTCCATTCCTGGTAATTGTAATTTGTAGGAATTATGTAATTTAGCTCACAAAATAGTTAGCTAGGCAATTAGGCAGCCTATCAGTCGTTCTCTTCGTATTTAATTCCAGTTCAGTTTATGTTATTTTCCAGCGCTTCTCTCCTTTTACTTAAATGATATTCATTGTTGCAACTTGATATGGGTCCATATAGCTACTGCAGGATTGCATGACATTTGGTCATTGTACTATCGGAAACACAAAAATGCGGAGTTACATGAGGTTGCTGCCATAGATTAACACGTATTTTCTAGGCCTTCCCTTGGTATATTTATGGTTGGGTAGAGTAGTATATTCAGATATATGATTCTACCATAAATCTCTGATCAGTATATGTGATTTTCCTATAGATAGTTTTATAACTTATAAAGTTAACACTTAGTTCAGGTTAACCATACTTTGTGTTTTTACTTGAGGATTTTAGTTTCAGGCCATATTAAAATTTTGGTTTATCATTTTTACTGAATCTACATCTTTTTTATTTTTTTGTCCAAAAATACTAATACCAGTGTCATTTATACACCGGTTAGGTCCATCCAGATGATTCCAGTTAGGGCCTAATTACGATGACTTGCTGAAAAAACTGAATTATGCATTCCAATAATTTCTCCACCTGTTGTGGAAGGTAAAATATTTTCCCAGTAATTTTAGAAAATTGACCGAGGGAGTACGCGGCATATATTGTTTCGAATACTCAGTAATTTTTTCAGTATTTAGCTGCACAACATAGAATGCATTCGTCAGCCTTAGAGCGCGCTCTTGATTTTAATTCTTCACTGCTAATTGCAAATCTAGATTTACTCAACCTTGATGCCTTTCTTTGCAACAAAAATATGAAATACAGCTAGCCTAAAATTATGTGGTTCTAGGTTAACTCTACTTTGAATAACATAGAGCACGATGTCCACTTTTAGATTGCCCTTGAATATCTGATACGATGTCCATAGTTCATTCATGACTTACGGTGGACCCCAAAGAAGGAGAAACCAGGCAGTGCTTTTGGAGGATGGACAAGGTGTTAGCTTCCTATGCTACAAAACCCTCGTCTACCGACAAAGGACAAAATGGACCTCCTTCTATCTAGATTGTTGCCATCCGAACCTTTTTTATGAAAGATATTTGTCTTGATATTACTGACATGTTTTTAAAATTCCTTTGTGCTTATTGTTGTCTATCGAAAACTGACCATACATGTTCCAGGTATTTGCATGTGACCCCGCTTTTCTTTTCGGTCTTGTGAGTTCTTGTTGTTGCACAGGAAAGCAGATGGAGAAATGGTGGCAGCAAGGACAGCCGGTTAGGACAATAGATGGTGAGTTCTTGTTTAACCCAGCCACTTCGGTTGTGTAATTTTTCTTGGAAACATGATAACCTGGAGCGTATGGATATAATTTTTCCTTCATTTTGGTGTGCTTTGCAGGAATAAATACTGAGATACGTCTTTGATTGCTTAGACACAAATGGTATGGTCTATTGTGCCGCAATTGGTGTTGTGCTTTTGTAATATAACCTAGAGAAACAAATAGATCTGTTCCTCAGTTAACCTTTGCTAAATAAACCTACATTGTTACTCGTGGTGTATGCACTGGCCTTGATTATTTCTTATGCCATTGTAAGGTTTAGTTCTTGGGCCACTGAACAAAGGAGAGGGATTGGGCTAACTTTAGAGTTTACATTTTGGTCTGTTTTTCTGTGACTTCTCTGCTTGCTTGTGCAGTACAGACTTCTCTATACCATCAGGTTGGAGACCAAATGGATGATTTCTTTTATCCTTTATTATTTCGTTGTAGATTCGCTTATCTCTTGATGCAAGATGAATTGTATTTAGTTCTTAATTTTTGCATGTTCAGTGTTTGCCTTACTGAATCTAATATCGTCTGGTTTTACTTTATTTCTTACAGTCCGGTGTGTAAACACTAATGTTTCGTGCAGTCCTGCTCCATAAAAGGTACGATGCTTCCTCAGAATAGTCCTCTTATATAATGATGCTGCAGTGAAGCTTGCTTCTTTTAGAAGCAATGGGGGTTACGGCAGTAGTTTAGTTGAAGTAAAATGAGGCTTAGCAATTTGAATATGCCCATGAACAGTTAGTGCTTAGTAAAATCCAGTACAGTTTCTGATTGTTTTTACGTGTCCATGAGAATTAAATTCATTTGATTTAGTTACATGAAGTCTCGGAGACGAAAGGATTATAGAAAATGTCCCCATTCGTGTTTATTACTAGCCATCTTAAAATTGTACAAACATATCCTCTAGCAAATGTAAGAAACAATTAGGTCCATTTTATGATGCTGATGGTCAGTGAGCTACAGTGCTATTTGGGCATGGTGACCCTATTGTGTTTAGGCCTAACACTTTCTATTTGATGAGCTCTTCATTTGAGAAGCTACTATGAAGGTGTGTACTTGAAATAGAGTGAACAATTCTAAATTGCTTCTATGGTTGCCTTTATTCTCATTTATTAATAGAGTGAAACCTGAGATGCAAGATGCATTAGTTAGGATGGTAAAAACTAATGTTTAAGTTCACTAAGTTATGAATTTAGTTACCTGATTGATCAATGCGTGTAGCATTGACTTATATAATACCCTCTACTTACCCTTAGTTCATTGGAATTAAAAATGTTGGTTCATTTCCAATTTTCCAACTCCCAATGACTAACTCCAGATTTAGTAGAGGCAGTAAGATCAGAGCACCATTTCTGTTCCTTCTTTCTATCTGATTAGCACATACACGGCCTAAGATTACTATAACTCTCACCAATGTTTCAACAGAAACACTATTTCTTAGCTTGCATTGAGAAAAAAATATTAGCTTATCGATTTAAGGTAACGCATTGTCTTGTTAGTTTCAGTGTTTCTTACCAGGTTTTCAGATAAAAAAGGCTTTCAATCCTGCGCTGCATCTTTGGTTGGATAACCGACGCGCGCAAGGGCGCGCATGATGGACTAGTTAGAATTTATTTATCTTGACTAGCAAGATGGCATAGAGAGGAACATCAACAAAGCTCCCAGTTCAGCTCTGTAGCGAGGAAAATCATAGGCTTGGAAGTCATGAAGCTACAGAATGATAGCCAATTTTCTACCATCAATCTGGCTATGGCACTATGCTATGGATAATTACAGCAAATTGTCTTATATA